GATGATCCTTCTACAACAGTGCTGTACTATGGAAATGTTAGGTAGATAGCCAGACACCTCTGGCTCCTCCTGCCATTGCTACATCTGGGGGAGGAGGGAACACCCTACAAATCTGCCAATCAGAACTTACCGCAACAAATGCAAAAGAATGTAGAAGTACAATAGGGTCTGGAAGGTGACCTAGGACAACCTAAGGCTAGTTATCACGTCATTAGCTTAAATCTACATTGCGGTTCACCCACCCAAATAGGCTTTCAGAGAGGCTCATGGGAGATCCACAGGCACAGTAAGAATCAGGTCATATATCTTCCAACTGTCCATCAAAGTGGTTCATGTTGACGTCTGAACCACAGGGAGGTCCCAATCCAGACAGTATAAAACAAGACCCAGACCGTAACCAAGGTCTTTTTTTGTTATGACAAGAGGCCCTGTTTGCCATTCTGTGGTGAACGTATCTTCCTCTTACTCCTATCTTTCTCTCTTTAATAAATCTTGTTTTGTGCTTACCTTGCTTTTGGTGCGTCTGGTCATTCTTTGGCCAAGAGCACACTAAGAACTCATGTTTCAGACTGCTGACCTGACAGAAATATGATGTGAGCCGAGCCACATATGTATTAATAGTTTTTAAGTTTCTGGAAAAGTAAAAAGAGATGAAATTAATTACATCCTTGATTTACAAAATCTTGGCAACCCTTGTCAGAACTTCTCTGTCTTCGTCTCCTGCTACTCTAACCCCTTACTCTGCTCCAGGCACACTCCTGTCTCAGGGCCTTTGCTTATGCTATTCCCTTTGCCTAGAATGCCCTTTCCCCAGAATATGGATGACTCACCTTCCACTCCTTCAAGTCTTTGTTCAAACATCAACTGCTCATTGAGACTTTTCCTAACCTTCCTATTTAAAATTCCTGTCATCGCCATGCCCTTTTCCTGCTGTATTTTTCTTAGCTCTTTTCAACCATCTAACATATTAAATATACAGTTATTTGATTATTATGCCTCCTAGAATTTGCATCTGTTTTATTCACTGCTATATTTCCAACACCTAGAAAAGTACCTAACACAATTGTAGGCACTCAATAAATATTTGATAAGCTAATGAATGATTAAAAGTAAATTTTGATTTTAACAATGAACACAAGCCCTAACTTCAGAGAATGGAGGAAAAAAGTAAGGATGGCATGCTGGCCACTGTAATGGAGAGATGGCTGAGAGTCTTTTCTTTCCTACTCTATAGAGGAGAGATGCAGAAACCCCAAATGCCAGAGAGATGACCAAGGGGAGATAACACATGGCTCTTCTGGGAAGCAGTAGACAGGAGTCCTAGATATAAATCTAGCCCTCACCTTTGAAGGCGAGTATAAGAAGGAGCTTTTCTATCCAAGTTAAATCAATTAGAAATGAGGTTTCATCCAACAGTAAGAGTTAGAAAAAACATAAAAACCTGAATTAAAATAAAAGACTGCGTATGTCTTTATCCACTCATTGGTGGGAAAAAAAAGAGACTGCTTATGACTGAGATACTACCCTAAGTCAGAAAAGCTCCTTCAAGGTTTTTTTTTCCTCCCCAAATTCCATAAAGCACGGTGGAGCTATGTACATGTTCATATTGAATATTTTCATAAATTAATTCAATCAAAATATTGGGGTTGCTTCAACTAAGCAACAATTGAGAACAAAGGATAACCACTTGTACTTACATATGTATATTCATTATTTAAATGGTGTCCTTTAATACCTGCATCCTGATTGAGGATGCAATCTATCTTTACAGCAAAGGCTTAACTGAACGGAAACAGGAGATTTTCTTTTGACCTTAACCAGACTGATGGAGGCTTTGTTGTTTTAACTATCATCCATTCACTTACCTGGGTGCATAAGCCAGACTCAGAGACCTCATTAACTTCTAACCTTCAACACTGAGCCTCCCATTTAATGTTTCCTAAATCTGCAGAATCTAATCTCTTACCTCTGTCCTCATTACCCACCATCATCCCTTGCCTGAATTACTGCACCTAACTGGTCTTCATCCTTGCCCTTCCAATCCATTTTCCAGACATCAGCCAGAGTAATCTTTTAAATAAAAGATCATCTCCTTCTCTTGGTCAGGTCTCTTCAGTAGCTTCAGGTAAAGTCTAAACATTTAATGTCACCAACAAAGCCAGCATGATCTTGCTGTTGAAGTAGTATAGCATGTTGATTATGGAGCAAGGAGCTAGGCTAAGTTTGAATCCTAGCTGTGCCATTTACTAGCTTTGTGACCTTGGGAAAATTACTCTATGCCTCAGTTTTCTTATCTATAAAATGGGCACAATAATAGAAGCTATCTCATAGAGATGTTGTGAAGATTAAATGAGTATAATATACATGAAGAGCATAACACAGCACATGGCATATAATAAGTTTTAGGTAAGTATTAGTGATTAATGATTACCTGCATCTCTTCCCCTTGACTTTGTGTCCTAGTCATTCTGTATCAGGTAGGCCCTAGGTCATTCCAGGAATCATGCCTCCAGGCCCCGATACATCCTGTTCCTCTATTTGCAATGTTCTTGCCCAAATCCCCCTCCTCTCTTCTTTCTAAACCCCTCCTTCTGTCTTAACCACCACTTGCTTCAGGAAGCCTTTCCAGACCAGGCTAGTGGCTCCTGCTATGGGCTTCTGTGGCACCAGGTAGGGCTGCCTGATGTCAGGATGCCCTGTTAAATTTGAATGTCAGATAAACAATAAATAATCTTCTAGTATAAGTATGTCTCATGCAATAATATACTAAACAGCGAATAATTTTTTCTTATAAATGTCCTATGCAATATTTGAGACATATTTATAAATTGAAAAATGTGTTTATCTGACATTCGAATTGAGTGTCCTGTATTTTATGTGTCAACCCTAAACCAGGAAATCCTCTACTATCACCCTTATCACACTTCAATCATTAAAATAAGTGGGACAAGTGGTCTTTGTTTCCCCCACTAGAGTGTGGGGACAGGGCCCATGCAGTTTTACTGTTTTGGACTCAGCAGGCATTCCACAAATACTGAGAAATAAAGCCCTCAAGCCAAAGCTCAGACACCACCTGTTGGGAGTTGACTCTAACCACAGGCAAATTTCCTGGGAGACCAACACTTTCAGCACCGTGCAAGGAGAACCTCTCATCCACAGGTGAATCAAATGATGACACTGCTCTTCAGAATATCTCCAGTGTGATATTATTAACTCCTCAATAACAACTTTAAGGTAACCCCTCTATTTTACATTCAAAGAGGACTTTGAATTTTCACACCTATTTCACTTGACCCTCGAGGCAAGTAATAATATCTACATTTAACAGATAAGAAAATGGAGATTGAGAAAAGGTAAATGTCTTGCCTAAGATAACCAATAAAGGCAAGAGATCATTTTGACCCTCAGGAGTTGACTTCATGCTTTCTTCACTGTACCATACTGGCCATGTAGGCCAAAATGAAGAATCAGAATTCAGGATTCTTTCTCTCACCCAGAAAGCCTCTCTAGGAAGAAGTCTTATGTCAAGATCTCTCCACAGATCCAATTGCTCCTCCCACAATGTTCCTCAACAATAGCCCGAAAGAGGGAAGCCTGGCATCCCTCCTAGGTGATTCTTACCTCATCTCCCATGTTACAAGTGACACTATTTAGGCCATGAAAATAAAGAGCTTGCTCAGTGTTACAGGGAAATAGGGGTAACAGTGGCCAGAACCTGAAACGCATTACTTTTCTTTCATCTGCACTTCTAGGAGACACCACCACACCCTCTACTTAATTTTTAGAGACAGAAACTTGCACGTTGATTACATACATTTGTCAGGTTTCCTCTGGAATGAGGTGAGGATGGCTGAACCTGCTCTTGGTTTGGCACCTAGTAACGTCACCTCTCCGAGCACCTCTGGAAAGCTCATCAGGCTGAGGGTATCTGGCCTTTCTGCCACTAGGAAATGCTTATAGGTAGATTAGGGGTACTTGTGCTCCTAGAGCCCCTTCTCAAGGGTTAGGGACCCTCAGGAAGATCCACTCAGGCCAGAGGAGGACTTTGGCTTCTACAAGGACAGGAGTCCATGGACTAGACCAGTGGTGCCTTGAGGAAACTGCCACGTCCCCATTCCAGTCCTGCTTCTCTGAGCTTAACGCCCTGGAGGTGCAGAAACGGAAAGTAGGGAATAATCAAGAAAGGATTAGGCCGCCCGGGGGTAGAAGGTTAGAAGCTAATGACCTAAAAAGAACTCAAAAAAAAACCAACAACGACAAAAAAAAATGCTCTTTCGATAAAACTAGAAATGCAACCCTCGCAATGTGTTCTTAGGCCTCTGCAGCCTCAGCTTAACTTGGCTTGGGGTGGAAAGTGTGGGAGAAAGTCTTTACAAGACTGAAGACTTGCTGTTTGAGGTTCATAGAGCAGTTTTCTGTGTCGTGCACGAAGGCCTGGCTGGCTGGACTTGCTCCTACATACACAGCAGCACAGGGCAACCTGCTGAGACTGCTCCGTGAGACCTGCGGAAGGAAAGAGCACTGGCTGCTCGGGAACTGACTGAAACAAAAAACACAAATGCAATCGAATTAACACTATGGCTTGTTTGGGTCACTGAAGAAAATTTCTCCTGTGCTGGCAGAATTCTAGCCCGACCTTGGTTTGGAGCTCGGAAGCAGCAGACTTTTACAAAATTACCGACCTGGATTAGAGTCGGCATGGAAGGTGCTCGAAAGTGTCAAGACCATCTGGCCAAGGACAGGGAGATGCCCCTGGGAGAATTTCTTTCTCGGGCCCAGCCGAACCCCTCAGCGGGGCCTGCAGCTCACCTGGCCGCGCCGCGGGTTCCCCACTCCCACACTCTCCGCGCGCCCAGCTCCCGCAGCCACCCGGGCTCCGGTTGCCTGGGCAACGGCGGACGCAGGCGGCGGAAGGCGGGCACTGCCGCAGCCCCTCCTCCAGCTGGCGGACCGCGGAGGCGACGCGCTGCTTGCGCGCTGGGGGAAGTGGTTTTCCAGCAGGGAAAGCGCGGCTCTCGTGCCGCTCTGGGCTCAGCCAGTGAGCGACCGGAGGTGTGGTAGAGGGAAAGAGCCCACCGCGTACTTAAGGACGCGCCAGCCGCCGGGCCTGGCCTCCTTCGCACCTGCGTTTGCAGCCCGGCATAGCCGGGCGTTGTGGGTAGAGCGGCCACCGGCTGCATCATGGTGGCCCCTTGTTCCACCAGCCCGGCGAGCCCTGCCACCGGGGTGGGGAGGCGGGACGACGACCAGAACCTCCGCGCTCCGGTGAAGAAGAGCAGACGCCCGCGCCTCCGAAAGAAACAGCCGTTGCAGCCCCTGAACCCGTGCTCGCTCCTCGGAGACTCTGGAGTTTGCGACCTGTTCGAGTCCCCCAGCTCCGGCTCGGACTGCGCAGACAGCCCCACGACGTTGGCGGCGCGGGGCTGCAGCCCCCTGCCCGGCCCTGCCCAGCCCTTAGTGCAGCTAGATCTACAGAACTTCCGCGACTACGGCCAGAGCTGCTACGCCTTCCGCAAGGCTCAGGAGAGCCACTTCCACCCGCGGGAGTCGCTGGCGCGGCAGCCACAAGTGAGGCGCTCTTAGAGCCCGCTCCCCGCCGCCACGCTTCTTCTACAAGGCTCTCTCCTTTCCCGCTGTGTCTGCCCTGGCCCGCGCCGGCCCAGTTCCTGCCCCCAGCGGGAGCAAGAAGGGGCCTTGGAGGGGCGGGTCACCGGCCTCAATTTACAGATGGAGATAAGTGGGGCCTAGACGGCCTAAGGGACTTGTCCCAAGCCTCCAAGCTGGTTAGTGTGAGAGAAGTTAGTTTCTAGGTTCGAGTTCAGATTCCTACCAACCTTGGGCCTGTTACTTGACAATCCTGAGCTTATTTCTTCATTTGCAAAATGGGCCCCCTCTCCTTCCACTGAATTGCTGAGAGGATTACTAGAGGTAATGTGTGTGAAGCACCCGGCGGAGCGCCAGGCCGGAGCGCAGGCGTTCGGGCTCGGCACTGCTCGTGTGTTTCCCGGTTTCCAGAGCATTTAGCTTTCCACGCTCTTCTTCCTGCCTCCCTCCAGGGAAGCTCCCTGGGTCGTCTTGGCTCTTCACGTGCGCAGCCCCTCTCTGCCCTAGGCTCAGCCCGCCCGTCCACTCCTCCCTCCCGGCAGGTGACGGCGGAATCCCGCTGTAAGCTGCTTAGTTGGCTGATCCCCGTGCACCGCCAATTCGGTCTCTCCTTCGAGTCGCTGTGCCTGACGGTGAACACTCTGGACCGCTTCCTCACCACTACGCCAGTGGCTGCAGACTGCTTCCAGCTGCTCGGGGTCACCTCGCTCCTCATCGCTTGCAAACAGGTACCTCCATGCGGTGTCTGGGGGCAGGGAGAGCCAATTGGCCGCCCGGCTCTCCAGCGCGCAGGATTCAGTGCTGGGGTCCCTGGACTCCTTTTGGCAGATGCTTGCAAATTTATACACACCTCAGCCTTAAGGTCACAATTCTCCACAAACTAACAATCCTGTCACTCAGCCTCCAAAGAAATAGGCTGTAGTCAGTCCCGAACAACTCTCCGTGGCACCTCTATTCTAGTTTCCGGAAAAAAGCTTTCAAAATTTCCCAAACCTTTTTTTTGGACATCAGAGGAACTGTGCCAGAAGTACGCCCCAGGTGACTTAAGTGGTAGCAGTGGAGAGGTGAAGTATAGGCTGTCTTTCTGGAAGGGATGGGGGATTCCCGGTTTTCTCCCGGAATTCAGACTGCGGTGGGTCTTGGCCCCGGCAGCCGCGAGGCGGGGGACTGAGAGCGCCCTGTGTTGCAGGTGGAGGTGCACCCGCCGCGCGTGAAGCAGCTCCTGGCCCTGTGCTGTGGCGCCTTCTCCCGGCAGCAGCTCTGCAACCTCGAGTGCATCGTGCTGCACAAGCTGCACTTCAGCTTAGGCGCTCCCACCATCAGCTTCTTCCTCGAGCATTTCACGCACGCTCGCGTGGAGGCGGGGCAGCTTGAGGTCTCTGAAGCCCTGGAAGCGCAAGCCCTGGCGCAAGGGGTGGCGGAGCTGAGTCTGGCCGACTATGCTTTCACCAGCTATGCCCCCTCCCTGCTGGCCATCTGCTGCCTGGCGCTGGCTGATCGCATGCTGCGGCTCCCGCGCGCGGTGGACCTGCGCCTGGGAGAGCACCCGGAGGCGGCGCTGCAGGACTGCCTGGGCAAGCTGCAGCTGTTGGTGGCCATAAACAGTACCTCCCTGACTCACATGCTGCCCCTCCAAATCTGTGAGAAGTGCAGCCTGTCCCCGAGCTTGAAATAAAACAGGCCCTTGGTCTCCTTTTATTCCCGGGCCCAGCTGCTGGACCTCCTATTGCTTTAGAAGA